AATATAAGTTTGTAATTTTAAATGTACGAAATCTTTAATAAAATAGGGTGTTAAAAATTAAAGTCTGTAATTTAACATGTCTCGAACCTTGAGAAATAGAATGTTGAAAATGAAATTACACCAAGGTATATGATGATGCTGTTTAACGTGTTATACCAAAGCATAATATAATATACCAGCTGTGTGTTGGACTTGTGTCTTGAGTTGTCTTGTTAGAAATGTTGCTGTTGTCTGTGTGTCAGGCTGTGGTAAAGATGGCGTTGGTTTGTTGACATCCTTGTTGTCCTCGTCTGTTGGATTGGGATTAAAAGGTTTTTTTTTTAAATTACCGTTAAAGTTAACAATGACTTTGGTGCATATAATATGATTATTGTTTATATATTTAAAACTGTAATGCATATGATAAAACACTCTGATGAAAACAAAAACTTTGAATAAGATACACATTTATACAAACACAAAGTGTTCCAAAATGTCTAGAGTATACAAATCGAACATGCTGTTTCTCTTTTGCACGGCTGTTTAGGAATTTAAAAGTAGATACCAAATTATCTAAAAAACGTATAACTTCCAATAAATCCTTAAGGCTTTTTAAACGTGTCTTAGGGCGAGTACAGTTGCACAAAGCGAGTGTACATTCTTCAATTTTATTCAACGTTTTAAGAGTCACTAGTGAAATATCGAATTTATATAAATAAAAGTGGTTAGTTAGTCGGTCGACAGAATAAAATTATATCCATTTAACATAGTGTCTGCAATGTCGTTAAACTAAACTTTAAAAAAATCCATTGCATTTTTCTCAATAGAAACGCTTACTACTACATGACTATAGGCTTTGAGATTTTTAATTAGAAATTATAAAAACTATTAGAGTACTGACTTAAAATGTGTGACGTCACATCCAACAAGGCCGTGGCTGCTGTGTCTAGTTCTTGTGATAGCTCGATGTAGCTGACAGATGATTGGTCAGTTTTTTCTTCTAGCCACGCCTCACTTTTTGCTACAACCTGTCATGAAAGACAATTTAATTTATGTTTCTACCGTTCAGATTTTAAGTTTTTGTTGTTGTTAGAAATGCACAACATCAATTAAACTTTTAACACTACATCTTGCTGAATGTATAAACGTTTGTTTAAACACATAAGTGTAAAGATTATTGTAAGTTGGTAGAAACTTACATTTTTCAATTCTCCTATAACAGGTTCCAGTAATTGTATCTGTTGTTCCAAATATTTCTTGTGCTTTGTAACAAGCTTGACCTGAATTCTTGAAGGCATCTATATAATAATATTACTGTCACTTTTAAACTTAATGTTTTAATATATAATAAATTATTGTGCATATAAACCAGAAAGTTTTATATCCACCCATCGCCAGCACCTTTCAATAACACACACGTCATAAAATATGAAATTAATGTTAACATCCTATGGAGATTATTTATGTAACATTGGGACGTGAGGTTTTAACATATTCTGTTGTTTGACTGTAATATAGTATTCTGTTGTTTAGATGTAACATATTCTGTTGTTTAGATGTAACATATTCTGTTGTTTGACTGGGTATTGAGTAGGTTGTAAGTTAATGACTTCTCGTTTCTGTTATCGGTCGTTTGTGTATCATGTCACAAGTGTATCATGTGTTTTGTTTAACCTCTCTTTTGTAAAATCTAGCATTAAAACCTTATGTGAGCTATCATTTGTGTTTTGATTTGGGGTTCAAATTACGTTTAAGTACTTTGGTTGACTTCATATGAACTTTGATTTTCAAACTAAAAGGAGAGCACTTTAAGATATCGTGCGTTCATTTATTTATAAATCAACAATAACTGATAAAACATTTATTTTAAGTTCGAAATAAAAATGTCCTGCTGTGTTAGTGACACCCCAAGTTTATGTTTTTGTGTTGTATGTTAGCGATAGTACATGTGTGTAGTTTTGTGTAAGACGTGTTGTGTGCGGTTGGGCTAGTGACCTATTTAAAATAACATATGTGTAAAGACTTTTAAAGTAAAAGATATTAGGTAATACAGTTTTTTACACACAACACATTAAATGATACTTACAATTTCAATTCTATATCAATATCAAAGTAATGCCAACTAAAAACTTTAAATAACAAATCTAGGTGTGTGAAACTTTGTCGTCTTGACAACTTTGTTACCTAAACAGCAGTTAATTTCGGGATTTCCCGTTAAACTGTTTCAGTATCATATACAAGCTAGTGTCTAGCCGCAAAACGAACCAAACAGAGAATATTTACAGCCTTCAGTCTGACAACTAAATGTACTAAGGTCAAATTAACGTAGGTAAACAATACATAAGTTGTATCATAATAATATAATGGTAAAATGTAAATATTTTGAGTTTAGTTGATCAATAAATCGAGATATTCTAACATTACTTTACTTCCGGTATTAAACGACTATGTCGTTCCTTATAGTAGAAATTATGTTGTAGAGCTTGTGTTTCTGATATTTCAAGTGTAAATATGAGATTAAGATTTGGGTTGTTTGTACAGTAGGTATACAGATGATGATGTGGTTTATGGATTAAAAAGTTAGAGTTAAGGTTGAGGAATGAAATGCATGTAAAAATAAAAATAAATAGGGCACCTTAAAGGGAAAATGAAAATATGTGTTTTATATCTTGTTGGGGTCATGAGTTTTGTATTGACCGTTTTATACAGACAATAAACTGTGTTTGAAATCAGAGTTTCTTCCAGACATCTCTTCAGGGTGGGTGGGGCATATGTATGTATAGTGTTTGAGTGAACTTAATTTTAAACCCGTAATACTGACTAATTTTTAAAAGTAGGTAACCTATAAACTAGAAGCACGTTTTTTAACCACTCATCTCGTATTTAATTTGTTTAGATGCGTCCTAGAATTCAGGTAAAGCTTGTTAAAGAGCACGTGAAATATTTAGAGGAACAAGTACGAGTTATGGAACCTGCATTTGAAATTATGAAAAAAGTAAGTAGTCAGCAGTTATGTGTCAGTTTTTTTTATTAACAAATTCTATATTATACAATCATGTACTAAGTTATTCAGTTTTTTTCACTTATGCACTTTTAACATTAAAAGGCAGCAGAAAAAAGTAAGACGTGGATAGAAGATAAAAGGACAACCCGTCTATCAACCCGTCGAGCTATGCCAGGAACATGAGTCAGCGACCATGGCAATGTTGGATGCATGTTCTAAAATTATGAGTAAAAATTTTAATTCATTTTTAGAGCCTGCGACTGCTCACACAAAAGTCACGAGTTTGGGTCTCGGCAAATCTTGTTCATATGGCGTGTCCTTTTAAGGGATCATCATGGTCCAATGGTAGACTACTTTTACCGCGTAAATTATCGAGTTCAGATCTCGGACTCCAGTTTGTGTGACGTATCTAAGCCCATTTATCTCTGACGGGTACATAATCCTGTTTAGGGAAACAAAGATGGCTGAGCATACACCTTAACAAACTATCCCTTGTATTCTGATGTCATTAACACCAATAATCACTACTTCATCTAATTGTCCTGGAAAAGATGATGACGACGATGATGATGATAATGATCATGATGATGATGATAATGATGATCATGATGATCATGAATTTACTTATTGTTATTAAATAAATCATAAGTTTACATTTTAAACATAATTACAAAAAGATCAAGATTATTTTTTTTTGTATTTTATTTTATTTTATTTGTATTTTTTATATTTTCCATTGAAAAGTTATCGAAGGCAATGCAATCAACTAACTTACGCAAACAAATATGTTTAGTGTATACTTACGTCGTCTTGGTAAATGCAGAAACTGATACCATTGGAAAATGATTAATAAACCATTAATGCAATGAAAAAAACTGTAGTTATAAACTCTTCATTCTGTATTCATATAAAACAGATGAAAACAAAGAGCCGGTAGATGTCGAGGAAGAAGCGCCATCATTATTTCAGCCAATACCACACACTGCAGCAACAGAAAAACTTGACTGTTGCGAATCTACACCCAAAGTGTTTAATCTATCTAAACCTACCACGGTTATAAAAGCAAATTAGGTTAAACCAAAGAAATATGTTAAATCCGAATAAAACAGTTACTAGCATTGAAAAAATTGTAAGGCAAACGATACGATTTTATAATCTAGTTTTAACATTTGTTTCATAAATTATTACTTTCAAATACATTACAGAGATAGTTAGTAGACAACCTACACAAAATAAATACAGAGATGCAAGTTTATAGAGATGAAATTAAAAGGTTATTGGATTTGATTTCCGACTTACAAGACGTCGGAAAACAAAATGCTGTTGAAAGATCTACCCAATTCGAGGATTTATATGCTAAGGTAGTTTTGAGCTTTTAATAACATATTTCTTAACAGCTAATTCAATTGAACACAACAATATATTATTTATATGTTACATATTGGATTGTACTGTCTCTTGAAACAATTATATTCCTACTGCCCCACACACACAGTCTAAGTAAATTTTTTTTTTAAATTGAATATGTTTTATAATATGTTAAAATTACATTTGTAGTATCTCTGTAGTTAAAGTTTGAAACTTCATTTTGAAATTGTTTATTCTGGGATCCATCATGATGGTGGGAGTGGAAGTTCAATTTTCCCATCTAAACCATAATGAATTTAAGGAAGCATCATTGTGTTTATCGATCGATTGTTGCCACATAATTTGAAATAGTGATGGGGTGACCGTAGAGAATATAACTCCCCAATGTACATGATTACGTCACTGTCATTCTAAGTGTTAAATGTTACTTTAAAATCCCTCCTTTTAGCACAGTGTGATGAACAAAGTCCTACAGCAAAGATTGATGCCCATTGACAAACTGATTCAAATCTTTAACCAAAACCTGGAGACAAGGGAGACAAATATCAGAAAGGTAAAAAAATAAAAACATATGTATGGTTTTTTTTAACGAGCACGAAACTTATATAGTACTTAAACCCTTTTAATTATTTTTATTTTCATTTTCGAGTCTTAAAACTCAAAATATAAAATGATTTTTAAACACAGAGGTTTAAATAGATTAAATGGAAATTTAAGCTTTAATTAAAATGTATGCTATTGTATAATGGGAATGTAATTTCAGCTAGATCTGTAGAAGTTCATGTTAAGAAATTGTTGAAATGTGTCCACGCACTTCGTAAGTTGTTGTTAATTTTTTTTTAACAAGTACATTTTGATGAGCTTTTTGTAATGATTTTCTGTAATTTGTAAAGTTTAACTCTACTTTAAATGTTTTATAGACAGTTAGCTACACAAAGTTGACATGTCGTTTATTATATATATTTTATTATATATATATATATATATATATATATATATATGTATATATATATATATATATATATATATATATATATATATATATATATATATATATACAGAGAGAGATTTGTAACTGTATCAGTAGTGGATTTCATTATTATTATTATTTTAATGCAGAACAAGAAGTTAAAAGCCATTTTGATTGCATTATAACTTTACAAGAAGATAGAAACAAAAATGAGGCTAATATTTCAAACACGATTGAAACTTTTAATTTGAAGGTAAGAAAAAATTCTTTTCACGGCAAATCTTACTTTCTTCTTATTTGAACATATATGTCTAAAAATAAAAACATTGTTTTAAAACGCAGAACCTTTACGTAGCTAATATATAACACAGTAAGATTTATATAGGAATACTAAACTAAATATGTGCCAATTATTGAAGTGATTTAACAAAAATGTAATTTAAAATTTCTTTAAAGATTGAAACTAGCGCGAAAGAAGTTTTACGGCTGTCAACAGATTTAAAAACATTAGGTAAGATTTTGGTGCATTATATTTTGCTTCAAATTTTTATTTTCAGTTTAAAACTTCATGTTTCATTGACTCATTAGTTGTTTCTTTAAAAAAAAAAGGGGCGTTGTCTAGTGGTACAATACACACTGTTAACCCTAAAATTTGGACCCGTTCACGAGACATGTGTCCAAGTGATGCGATGCCTTAGGGAAAAATTAAATAGTCAGAGAAAAACACTCACTGTTCATGCTTCTTGAGCCGTAATACAATAAATATGTGTGAGATAATTCCTGAACATAACATTCCGTTTTCTAAAATCAATTGTTTATTTTATTTAGGGTTTAGCACACCGAACAGACATGGACAATCATTAAAAACACAGTGTGAGACACTTGTCTCTAACAGACTACGATTGGGTTTTCTTCTAATGCACATCATCTTTTGTAGTGTCATGGAAAAACAAAACAACGAAACTCACATATGTCCATATTATCAGAGAAAGTGTATAGCAAATCGAGTAAACTATAAAATTCATCATAATTGCTACTTTTTAAAATATCTTCACAAATAATATGTAGTGATAGTAAACATTATTGTATCGTTTTATTATTGTAATTGTTACATAGGCCTACTAGCTTCTAAACATCATTTGAAGCCTCCGATATAAAAATAAAACGTTAACACAACCACCCACCACAAAGCACAAATACAAACCCCACATAGTAAAGTATTCTGATAACCCTCTCTTTAAATATGTAAACAATGATTTTTATCAGCAGAGCCCCGTGTGTGTTCACCTTACTTCTGTCAAATTTATTTGAAGACCGACAAAGTGTTCGCTGCAGGGTCAATTATTTCTACATTCCAAAGTGTTATGGAACGTAACGGCAGCCATTTTAATCAGACAACAGGAAAACTTGTAGCACCAGATGATCGATGCTATCTTGTTATTGTAACGTTACAGGAGAGTGATGGTAGACTGATTAGTGTAAGGGTATGTGTTGAAGGCAATTCTAAAAAAAGTGTATTTGTAACTTCAGCTGTCTGTGTTTCAACTATTGTTGACATGAAGAAAGGAGAAAAACTTTACTTTGAATTAATTTTGGCAGAAGTACGAGCTAAGCTACAAACTAGCAGTGGGTTCACTATAGTTAGTTTATAGATGTGTATCGTAAGTACAAATTTTAAAACATAAAATAAGTAAGCTAAAGTGCTTTTAGAGATCATCTGCATATGTAGTTGTACGAATTCTGAAAGCAAAGATGGGAAAACCTAATGTTGATATCGATCAATGTCTGTACCTAAAACTGCTAAATTGTTTTTAGAGGTAAATATATAAGAAGTGAACAAAAAAATCGGGCTTGTGAGGTGGTATACTTGTAATAACTAAGCCTATAGAGTTGTATATGTAAAAGGCATAATGAAATCTATCAATAACATAGCCTTTCTAGGTCCGAGGTTTGATTATCGTTCAAAGACTAGTAAAAGACACATCAATAAGTTATGTCAAACACTAGCACCAAGTATAGAGTATCGAATATACCAAATTTTATTGCCAGTCTTAATGATCTCCTATCTCGTTGTGGGTCTGTCAGATATTTGGTCACATTTACGGTAAAACATCTGATCTTGGTGGGCCGTGTGGGGTCAGTCCATCTGTACTTTGGGTTTAGGCCATATCAAATAAAGAAATGAGTGGGCGAGTGTTTTTTTATGCTAATAATCAGAAAGATACTTTATGAGTTGATATTTGTATAATAAAAATGATTTTAATGTCTAACTAATAAAAACAAATTATCATCATGGCATTTTGAAAGGGTTATATTCATACACTAAAGCAAATTTCATGGAGTTTTAAACGTATTCCTCGAGTCGATGCAACAGTACCCTATGAAAGTGCCAAAGGAAGAGATCACGAATTTTACACTCTGGTTATGTTTCTTAAATACATTTTTCTTGAAATGATGTAGAAATAAACCAATGTTTAATATTATCATGTAGATTTAATAAACTAACCTGTTTTATTCTGCTCCTCAACACTAATCTGTTACAGACGATATAAGCAGTCTACTGGCACAGCACTCAACACTAAAATCTCTCATATATCATAATATATAATTGACGTCAAATATTCATTACATATATTATGTTTATCAACAGTAAATGATTTTGTAAGTCTAATATGTGTCAAATGAAAATAACGATGTTCTAAGGTTAGAATTTATTCAACTAAATTTATATAAAGATAATATGTCATGTGCTTCTAATTTCGCGATCGATGTTTCTTGTAGCAATTATGTGTTACACTTTTTGTTACACATACACATGTTTATATAAATAATTATATAAAAAATTATTTAGTTTAATAGATGTAACGATTTTCGTTTGTGTTGATGTTTGTTAATTTAAAGATACAGTGTTACTAAATAAAGGAAAACATGTTTTTAATACAGATAAGCTGTAATTTATGTCTTAAATTTCATTTGGTTTGTCTTAAGGCTTATGCTGACAGTTACATATTTAACGTTTTATTTTTTATACAAACCAAACGTATTCAAATACGTTTGTGCTCCTATACAGTGAAGTCAATGGTACATACTTATATTCTATAACGTTGGTCAAGTAGAAAACATAATAAGTGATCATATTAAATCAATAGAAACAAAATGATAACTAAACAAATATCATGTAAACCATTCAAGTGTTTGTAGACATGCAGTCCACACACTTAGTAAGTTGTTCGCGTGTGTTTAACATGGTGGTTACATAATTTTTAAAATTTACTATCAACCATATTTTGTGTTGTACTTCTATAAACTAACGATAATAAATCTGCTGTGCCAGGATAAAGCTGCGCTTTGATCTGCGTGATTCACATAAAAGTAAAGTTCTTGACCTTTCTTCATGTCAACAACCACTGACCCAGCAACGCTAGTGTCGGCACATTTCACTTCTATAAACGTACACCACTCGTCTCCAGCCTTCACACCAACTCCAATCAGTTTATCTTCCCATTCATGTACAGTGACACAGACAAGATATAAACCATCATGTGGTGATACAAATTTTCCTGTTGTTTGGTTAAAACGTTGACCATTATATTCACGCACTTCATTAAATGTTGAAATAATTGATCCAGTACTGACAGGTGTGTGAACAGCAAGCGTTACATGACAAGCATATCTGTTACATACACGTGACTCTGTTGATTGGAAAACATATGTACGATATACAATAATATACATGTTTAATTCCACATACTATTATACATGCTATGAATATGTAACATGTGCAAGTGTGTGATTACATCATATAATTAAAAATAAAAACAGAAGACAAGCTATCTCTCTACAAATATAGACTTGTGGATTCTTTTTACATAATTCTCCATAACAGCACTGATTGAAACGATTAGTTTAGTAACTCCCCATTTTTCTTTTGTTAGTTTATCGTTTCCTGCGTAATGAAATTATTAGTTTAGTACCATCCACAAGAAATATGATAAGCGTTACTTTCTAATTATATATGCGTACGATAAGTATTAAAAGCCGTAATGCATTAGAAGATTGTAAAAATAAATATGGCAAGTCTATTAACACAAAAAAAGACCAGAAACAATAAAATAATAATCTTGACGTGAAGACAATTAGAACAAAATATGTTCATGTTATATTGAAGATTTCATTATTGCAGCTAGAACACACTGTTTTAGTAGCATAAACCTAAAGGGCTAAAGTTTTTGTTTACATCATAAAATATCTTCAGCTACATACAATTCTTACTGCGACAGATCTACCTGGTTTTTAATGCATCAGGTGAGGAACCCAATGTATGGCGAAACCCACGGATCTAGTGGCTGATACCATGGGTGAGTGAAATGCTGGAGTCGTTTTTTTTTTATATTATGCTGTGTTTGGCTAACGAAAATCGCTCAAACTTATACATGGTATTATGTTTGATATCAAAGAGGCTAGTAAACTAAAATAGGAGAGTATGGAGTTTGCATCGATATTCTACAATAAAGTTTTATATTTAAATCTAGATAGAGATAATATAGATTGACCAATTAACTTATATCATGATGTAAGATTATTATTTTCCAAAAGAAACTTACCGATTACATTAAAATCCATCGTCAACTTTGATATAACATTTTCCATAGTTTCCAGCTAAATAAAAATAACGTGTAAATTAAAAGAATAAAATTATCACATAGCTGCGTAAATCATACAATAGGTCCACTCACTTTACAATAGCAAAATGTAATTACATAAACTAATTTTTTAAGCACTAACTTGTTTTTTTTTTTAAACTAACATTAGATATCACTTAATTATCAATTTTCATTCAATGGTCTAAAAATAACTTGATAATTAATGCGCAATGCTACAGACTATACAGTAATTATATGTTTACAAACATACCTTCTTTGATCTTTCTTCTCTAGTTTCTAAGTTCTGATTAAATATTTGAAACAATCTGTTAATGGGCATCAATTTTTGCTGTAGGAGTTGGTACATCAGGTTGTGCTAAATGGCAGATAATTTTAATGGATTACTACAAGTTTGACTATTTGTTTTGGAGATTAAATTGCAGCAATAAAAACTGCTCTAAGTATAGCTTTAGAATCAATGGTCTTACTGTTGAAAAAATTAATAAACTGACTTAATTTAATGTACAACTTGTTTATAAAATGAGTAGTATATACATTTGTCAGCAAATGTATACCCAATTAATTAGCAATCTTAATGTTTACCTTGAATTGTAACTTCTCAAATTGCGTTGAAGTTTTGACCACGATTTTATTATTTTCATCTTGTATAGAAACAATCAAATCAGAGAGGCTTTTAATTTCTTGTGTCATACTGTCTGTTTTATCTGTATAAGCTTGCATCTCTTTATTTATTTTGTGCGTGTTGTTTTCATATTCTTTCATATCTAGGGACAGTTTCTCTAGTGTTTTGTTTGACTTGGTTTCTTTTTCTTTTAAACTTTCAATTTCTTTGTTCAGTTCCTTTACTTTGTTATCTTGTTCATTTATTTGTTTCCTGATGTTTTTAAAATTCTGCTTTTGTTTTTTAGTCAGTTGTTCAATGTTTACCCAATTGTCACTCTGTTCTGTTACAAAGTTGTCTCTCCATTTTTTAATTTCTGATATGTCATCTGTAGACTTGTGTTGTGTGTCCTGTAGTGAAGATAGTGTTGTTTCAATATAGGCGAGTCTACGCTCTAGGTCAGGATGTTCTTCAACTGAGGATAGTCACAAATATAAGTTTGTAATTTTAAATGTTCCAAATCTTGAAAAATAGACTGTTAAAAATGAAATTAAACAAATGTATCAATCGTACATTGGTTTACAGTATATGATTCTGTTATTTGACGTGTAATTCAAAGAATAATATGATATACCAGCTGTGTGTTGGACTTGTGTCTTGAGTTGTCTTGGTGATTCTACTGTTAGATATGTAGCTGTTGTCTGTGTGTCAGGCTGTGGTAAAGATGGCGTTGGTTTGTTGACGTCCATGTTGTCCTCGTCTGTTGGAATCGGTTTGAGTATTTTATTGTAATTACAGTTGAAGTGAACAAATATTTCATAGTACATGCAATACGTTCTACTAGTTTAGCTCTAACGCAAAATACGTAATACTCTGATGAAAAAAACAACAACTATGAATGTGATCTAAATTTAAACAAACACCATTATTTCCAAAATGTCCGAAACATATAGATATATATCGTGTCCATTTATTTTAAATTTAACTTTTACATGACTGTTTATCGAATATATAATCATTAGTATTTAAAAAAACGTTTAACGTTCTATTAACCCTTAAGGCTCTTCAGCCTTGTTTTAGGGCGAAAAATGTTACACGAAACGATTGTAAATTCTTCATTTTTTTCAATGTAAGGATTTACAAGATTGACTAATGTGATGCCGATTTTATAAAAATATAAACATAGAAAGTGTTATGATATTCGGCCGACAGTGAAATTATATCCCTTTGTAACAACATCAATTTCATTGTTGTTATTGTGGGGACGTTTAATAAACTCACACGAGCAATAGTAGAAACTTCAACTATAACTTTATTTACACTTTATACAGAAAATTAATAGATCCATAGTAAATCCATAGTCACAACTGGTATAAGTACAATCACAGTCACGAATCAAAGTGACGTAGTGACATCCTACATTCACAGCCACAGTCTTCAAGCGCAAGCACAAGTCCAAGTCCTTTCGTTCACCTTGCGCTCCCCTTTTATTCACAACTTTCTCTCCCCTTACGTCAATGAGCGATCTCATCCAAAAACATGGAAAAACACACGACGATCGCTCAGACAGTCCTTCAGCTAGCCAGGTACTCTACATTCATGCAACTTCATGTAAACACAATAATATAAACATACCTAATTATACAGTCTGTGACACGTCTCCCCTTCAAATAAAATTTTGTGTAACAAAATTTATAAATACAATATTGGTAGGGCAGGACCATGTGCCAGACAACAAAAATTTTTATACATCTCAAAAAACATGGAAAAATACATTCTTTGTAGACTAATTATATGTAATATATTCAAATATGAGAAAGAAAAACATTTCTATTACCCAGTAATTGTAGTATAAACAAGACAAATGAGTTTAATAAATTACCAAACTAGTCTGGTACATGACTTAATTACCAAAACATA